CTAATGGGGCAAGATTCAATTTTTTTAAATTTTTTTTCCTTTTTCTCCCCAAAGCCCCCCCAGTACATAGTTGTATATTCTTAGTTGTGGGTCTTTCTAGTTGTGGCATGTGGGACGCTGCCTCAGCATGGTTTGATGAGTAGTGCCATGTCTGCACCCAGGATTCGAAGTGACGAAACACTGGGCCTACTACAGCGGAGTGTGTGAACTTAACCACTCGGCCACAGGGCCAGCACCACAAGAGTCAATTTTTTAAACAGACATCGGTAACTAGAAATCAAGTGCAGTTTCTAGTAGTTAAAAGATTCTTCACTTTATATAATGATTTATTGCATGAATTCATAAATATAGAATTTCTATATGCATTCAAAATGAAAAAGATTTATAGAATATCAGTTTAGTCACAGATTTAGAATATAAACATGACATAAGGAACATCTGCATTTCTGCTATAAATTAAATGCTGACAAAATCTTACTTACCAATATGATTTCCATTATACTTGCATATTTAACTAAATTTAGAAAGTTGATGCCTATAGGTATTTTACATATTATATCTGTTAAACACTAACTGAAAACATAAGGTAAAAAGCATATCTGTGAGGAAAAATTGGACCCTCCTTTTGGGATCAGTCAGTCAGCTGAAATCATCTTTTGGTACTTTATTGAAGTGTCTAAGTTCTTTTCTATGAAACACACACACACATACACATGCCCATGCGCATGCACATACACACACACACACACATACACACACCTTGACAGCTTACTTTATCTATACAATATTTAAAAGAAAATTTTCAAACATAAACTGTTCTACCCTAAACTCATGTTCAGTCTTGGCCGGATTACCTGAGCAACCTATCTGACACATTTTGGTTTCTACATTTAAAATCTAATTATATCAGCAACAAGATGACTTACCGGACCAAAAGAATTACTGTCAAAACTGTGTCCATGATGATCACCTTCAACCCAGATATGACCACGGGGTACTTTGACATACCGGTTTTTGTGTCCTATAGTTCTAGAAATAAACAACAAAACCACTGAGATAAGAACAGAAAAGAGATCAAATAGCTAAGCATATAAATTCAGGAAGGGTAAAAATGCTGTTATAAAAACTCAACAGATTAGTAAAGGTTAACCATGGGGCTACTCTAAACTTCATTAAGATAAGGTTAGGACCCCGTACAGCTACCCACTGTAATTTTTTGCGTATTTCTGTAGGTAGGAATTTTGTGCTTAAATAAAATGCACTAGCACCAAATATAATGTTTTGCTATTTAATCTGATTCACAATATCATAAACAAGTTTTTACGAAATTCAATAAGCGCTAACAAAATATGGATCTATTTTTTTCTGATATTTGCTTTTATGTCAATGTTCAACTCGGTCAGCTGCAAGTTTCATTTTTGTAGTCAAATAAACTTCTCTAACCAACTGATAGTACTTTTCATAGCCTCAATACTCTAAAATTCAGCGTATATAAGAAAGAAAAAATCCTGGACGATCTCTTGTCAGGTATAAACTATCAATGTCTGCTGAAAACTTCTGATCAGCACTATTTGATTTCATAAGTTATTCTTGAAAATGAGAAGCTTTTTAACAATTTTAAAGACTATTTAAAGATCAGTGATACACAGCGGAACATTTTATATTCTTAAGGCTGACAAGAAAATGGAATAAAGAAAGTCTCTCTCACACAGTGCTGAGGGCAATGTAAAACGATACAACTTTTTTCTTGTTTTGCCATTTTGGACCTATTTTTATCAAATTTATTAATAGACTAAAATTTACATGCTTTTTGACCTAGTTATTCTACCGGTAGAACTCCATTCCAAACAAGTAATCAGAAATATGGACAAAGATTTATTATTGGGATGTTCAACACAGGCCTTTTTATAGTAAAAAAATAATAATCTTCCTAAATATCTAACAACATGGCATTGGCTAACTAAATTATCATACAACCAATTAAATAAAAGGGATGAGATTACAACAAAACATTATCCCAATCTTATAATAATAAATTCTTTTGGGGGCAGAGACTGTTTTCTTCTTCTTTTATTTCGCAAAGCACTCAGGAAAATCCCTAGCCTAGAGTAGCTTCTCAATAAATGTTGGTTGAATGAATGAAGGAATGTCACCCCCAAGGCTATAGAGTTAAGCCAAGAATCCAAGCTTTGCACACTGTTCTTTGAGGTGGAGTCCCCATCAGAGCGTTTTTGTTAGTTAGTTAGCAAGTTGTATATGTGCAGAAGAATACAGAGAAAAGGAAAAATATACATAAATTGGTGCTATAGAAATTCAAACTATTGATTATCTAGAATGATTTTTAATTTTCAAGATAATTTCAGTGTTGAATTACTTTGCTTCGATCAGGAAATTATTCATGCAAGGAAGCAATGTTGTGGCCATTACAAGCCCACAGTAAGGTAATGACTGCTGTTTATTTTTAATTACTACTGGGAAGAAGAGCTTCAGCTTTTTAAAGAAAAGCAAAAACAAGTTGAACACATCTTACCATGATATACTGTGTAATATAAGTGTTCTTCAATTAAAATCAGTCAATTAGTTTTTGACGTCTCTACTGCTTTTATCATGAGATTGCCTCTAAGAACTAATATCCCACATCAAGTGTTAATGACTGGGAGAAAACCCTTTTACTTAATTGTTGGCAATGCACACTCCTAAAAAGTCCAAACATTTGTTCACCTTATTAAGCTGGCTATTTTGGATAATATTCAGAAAGAAAACAATTACTCATTTTTTCTCACCAGATAATCATTCAAGCAGAATTATGAAATGAAACCAGCATAAAATCATTTCTGCCATGAAATGGTAGGTTTTAAATCAAGAATATTTTTCTGGAAACAAAAAGAATGATATAAAACTCAGATTCAATTTCAATGTCACATAAACCAAGGAGTCAAGATACTTGTGGTAGAAGATGATAGTATCATAAAATTACCGGTGATAGCTGCACATTTCCTTGTATTGATTATCTTATCCAAAAATTTAAATACACCCATCTTCCCATCATTGTCTACCTCCTTACAATGCTTTATTTTTCTTCACTGCACCTACTAACACTTGACGTTCACATGTTGGTTTATTTGTTTATTGCTTATCTCCCCCCGACTAGAATGTAAACTTTGGAGCTTTGTGTTTCTTGTTCACTAGAGTATCCCCTGAGCCCAGAAGAATGCATGGTACAAATTGCTCAACAAATATTTGTTAAATGAATGTGTAACTGAAGAATGAAAAATACTGCTAAAAAGGCAGAATAATACAGTGGAAAGTGCATAGAGTTCTGGAAACAGACTAAACCAGTTTTAATCTTGATACCATTACTCACAAGTAATCTTGTGCCAGTTAGTTTCTACCTGTATTCGCCCACCTTTAAAATGAGATGAATAAGACACACTCTGACTGGGTTGAGATGAAGTTTCGTAGTTAGATGAGAATATAATGGAGAAGTTACTAGGGAATATAGTCTCTGCAATCAGCCTATCTTGGCTTTTATATCTGACAACACTTTCAAGTTTATGTAATCTTGGGCGAGTTGATGAAACTCTAAGTGTCAGTTTCCTCATTTGCAGAATGGGGCAAATAATGGTACCTAACTCAAAAAGTTGTTCTATGGAGAAAGGGGCATGTATTAAACACTTGACAAATGGATTCTCTTATAGTTGCAACTTTTTGAAGTAAAGCACTCAACAGTTCTGATGTATAGTAAGAACCCACTAAGTGGTAGTTATTATCGCTATGGTCTTCCTTTGTCCACTATTTTCTTTCATTTCAAAATTCAGAATGTGTTTAGCCTCTACTATCTATTAGCATCAGTCTCTTAAAATTACCTGAGCTACGCTTCAATAATTTCTTTTCGCCACATTTGCACTGTGACTGTAGACTATTTTTAATGGTATAATGAATCTTATTTTTCTTTTATTCTTATACCCTTCTGGGATACTCTAAAACTTAATGTGAAAACACAATCTATCTGTTTGTGCATATTCAAACATGCAGAGAGTAGTAGGTGAAAGTGTCATGTAGCTATTTGTGCTTTCACTTACTAATCACTTGCACATTTGAATGTTGCTGCGCTAATAGAGAGCGGTTTGCCTAGATACTGGACAGGTGTGAAAGAACTCTTCGAGCTGTAAAACCCTGGTAAAATTCATGTTATATACATAGTGCATATTTTATCTCTCAGGTTTCAATCTAACTGTTTAAAAGATAACTCAAAGTAGCTTTAAAAAACATGATGTTAAAATATCGAGCTGGTTCCTTTTAGGACTGCCAAAGAAATATAATACTCCTAATAGAACTTCTCTAGAGAAGGAATTTTAAATAGCTTTGTGCTCCTGAATTCACATAAAAGAAAGACAAGACAATCTTTTAGGTGATTTAACAGTTAAGTGAGGTGTCAGCCTGCAAGGTTGTATGTATCTATGGCTTGCAAATAATTTCAGTTTTGACACTCAAAAATGAGTTCTGTATAGTATTCTAACTACTTGTCTACTAAAAAGTATTTTTAGTACTAGCTTTCCGAAGACAAGTTACCTAGGGCTTATGGAATGAATGATTGCCTCCGATTTGATTTGACCTTGAAAATGATGTGATTTTTTTAAAGTCTCTGAATCTTTTGAGTGTCATCAGTTGAATACAAAATTGTTGATGTAATCCTTGACACCACAGGAAGGAAACAAATTCATATTTAAACTGTTTCTCAAATACACACAGACATATTCTTAACCTAGATAATCAGTATGAATAATTTGTGATTGATTGAGGTATTTTTTATTAGTATTTTTATTTTAAGATGTTCTCTTTTTGTTTTGGTTTGGTTTTTTTTGATTTTTTATTTTTTGAGGAAGATTAGCCCTGAGCTAACTACTACCAGTCCTCCTCTTTTTGCTGAGGAAGACTGGCCCTGAGCTAACACCCATGCCCATCTTCCTCTACTTTATACGTGGGACACCTACCACTGCATGGCGTGCCAAATGGTGCCATGTCCACACCCGGGATCCGAACCAGCGAACCATGTGCCGCAAGAAGCCAAAGGTGCGAACTGAACTGCTGCGCCACCGGGCTGGCCCCATGATTGAGGTATTTTTATTTCTGCATTTTTCAGACTATTCTATTGATGGTTCTCATTGTCCAAAGTAGTGGCTGCCCTGATGATGCTTACTGGATTCTAGACCTCTGGGTTCTCATTGTCATAAAGGGACCATGAGTTAATGGCTCAGGACTCTGCAAGATCAGGAGTTGGAACTAAATCTCTTTTATCATCACTGCTAGACTGGACTAGAAAAAAGTGATCTACCATCAGGAAAGGGAAATAAGAAGGACACTGTCCATCTAGGGTCGGCCTCTGGAAGGGAAAAAATTCTCCCTTGAGAATCCACGTCCTGCTCTCAGGTGAGATTGGGGTTCAAATTCACACCGCTTGTGCAGTCTGGGAAAGTTGAGTATTAACTGTAATGAGCTCCAGGAATCTGGCAGAAGGAAATAAAAATCTCTTCAGGGATAATCCCTCAATTCAAGTTTTCAAGTTTTCTATAGGTAAGTCCTGCCAATAGGAACTCACAATCCAAAAAACAGAACTCACAAAATATAGCTAGCATTAATGAGTAGGACAAACAATAAACAGCAGAATTAGACCCTCAAGGACTTCAAATGCCAGATCTATCAAATATAGAACATAAATTATGCATATTTAAATATTTTAAAAATTAAAAAGAGAATTAAAAACATAAACAAAGAACAATATACTATTTTAAAAAGACCGACATTTGAAAAAGAACCAAACAGAACTTCTAAAACTTAAAATATATTATTAAATAGGTGAATTGAAAAGCATATTAGTATAAACTAAAGAAAGAAGTAATGAACTGGCATATATATCTAAAAAAATTACTTAGGTAAAGAAATGAATAATATGAGAGATGTTAAAGAGACATGGGGAACATTACTAGAAAATGTAACCTAAGTATAATCAGAGTCCCAAAGGAAGAGACAAGAGGCCATATTTGAAGAGATAGTGATAGACAGTTTTCCAGAATTGATGAAAACGTAAATTCACAAATTCTGGACTCAAAGTGAATCACAAGTAAGATAAATGGAAACCACACCTTGACACATTGTAATGAAGTTGCAGACCACTAAAGACCCCCTCGCCCCCCAAATTTTTGAAAGGCTGCCAGAGAAAAAAGGACTATCTTCAAAGGAATAACAATTAAATTGACAGCAGAGTTCACTTGTTAGTGTATAATTTTAAATTGCTGAAATATAATTCAGCAACTTTGTGTACAATTCAATGAATGTTAAAAATTACACAGTCACATAACCACTAGATCAAGATATAAAACACTTGAATCACCCAAAAAAGATTTTTCATGCCCTTCTGCATGAAAATTTGCCCCCACCTCCATCCTTGGTTCCAGGTAGCCACAGCTGAGATGATTTTTGTCATCACAGTTTTGCCTTTTCTAAGATTTCATATAAATGGAATCACTCAATATGTATTCTTTTATTTCTGGCTTCTTTAACTTAGTCTAATGCTTTTGAGATCAATCCATGTTGTTTCATGTATTGGTAAGTTGCCTCATTTTCTTTTAATAGTATACTGTTATATAGAAATACCACAATTAGTTTATCAATCAATAGTTCATGGACACTTGGGTTGTATCCAGTTTTTGGCTATTATCAATAAAGCAGGTATGAACATTTGAGTATGAAGATTTATATGGATGTGTGTTTTCATTTCTCCTGGGTAAATATCCACGAGTGAAATGGCTGGTACTCGAACGTTTAACCTTGCAGTTACCTGTCAGACTGGTTTCCAAAGCAGCTGTACCGGAGTGTATGAGTTCCAGTCGTTCTACATACCACCAACACTTGATAATTATCATTCTTTTTAATTATAGCCATTTTAGGGACATTCAGTGGTTTTAATGTCCATTTCCCTAATGACTAATGATTTTGAGACCTTATATGTCATTTGTTTTCTTCCTTGGTAAAATATCTATTAAATTTCCTAAAAATTAAATTCAGTGGTTCATCTTCTTATATTGTGTTGTGTGACTTCTTTACATAGTCTAGATTTAACTCTTATCAGATATGTGTTTTGGCAAATATTTCCCCCTAATCTGTGGCTTGTTATTTTCATTTTCTTAACAGTTTCTTTCTTCAAAGAATAAATATTTTTAAAATTTTGATGAAGTCCATTTAACCATTTTTTTCTTTTAGAGTACATGCTTTTTATACTGTAAGAAACCCTTGCTTAATCCAAAGTCATAAAGATATTCTCCTATTTTTTTCCAGTTTTATAGTTTTAGGACTTTTTTTAATATGGTAAGGTAAAAGGTTCAAATTTCTTTTTTCTTTGCATTTTCCAGCATTATATTTTAAAAGACCATTCGTTCTTCATTGAATTACTTTGTGCTTTGGACTAAGTTATGTCCCCTCAAAATTCACATCTTGAACCCTATCTCCCAGTGTTATGGTAAGTGGAGACAGGGACTTTTGAGAGATAATTAGGTTTAGATGAGGTGGTGAGGGCAGGGCCCTCATGGTGGAATTAGTACCCTTATAAAAAGAGACCAGAGAGAGCAAGGTTTCTTTCTCTTTCTTTTTCTCTCTGCCATATAAGGACTTACACTAATAACAAGGAAGAAAGGAGGGAAGAGATTGAAAATATATTTTTCTAAGGTTTTTGAATTTGTCTAGTGAAGACTAGACACTTAGTATCTTTGGAATTTGTTCAGTATGCATTTAAAACATTTTAAGAATAATAATGGAAATGTAGTCTATAACTTATAAACCAATAGAGAGAAAATAGAATTTAAAAATCTCAGTTAATGCAAAAGAACGCAGGAAAGGACAAAAAATAGAAAAAGCAAGATCAGTAGAAAGCACAAAATACAATGGCATCCAAATACATCAGTAACCATAATAAAAGTAAATGGACTAACCTAGCTAATTGAAAAAAATGATTGTCCATCTAGGGAAAAATCCTAGCTCTATGGTTATGAGAGAGATACACAAAAGGACACAGAGAACTTGATAATAATAATAAAATAATAAATCATGAAAATAATAGATATATTAATATTAGACAAAATGAGATCAGGTCTCTGAGATGAGACTGACGTTTCAATAGGACCTGATCATGAAGAGCCATTGATGCCTATTTTACCCTATAGAAGGATTTTAAGCAGAGAAGTAAGCCTAAAATTCTTTAATGAATCAAGTTAAATTTTGTTTCTTAAAATCCATGGTCAGAGATGGTATTCTAAAAACTCCAAAGATTTCTTTGGTATCACAACATGACAAGCTGTTTTGCTACTCAATATATCCATTCTCTCTTCTGAGCCTAACTGCTGACACTTGTTATGTTTGCTTAGTAATTAAATGCTGAAGTATGGAGACTCAATACTCCTTTCCTTGGAGCTTGTACTGAATTAGAAACAAAGTGTATGTAATTAATAGAGGGTGAATTGAAGCAAATTAGGTGATAATATTTCTAGGAAGTTGAATCACCTGTAGTTAAGCGTAAGTGATTACTTTCTTAGGATCACAGTTGGAAAGCCCCTAGCAATGATCTAATCTAACTGCTCTTCATACAGATAAAGCAGAGGCAAAAAATATTTAGGAAAAGTCACCTAGTAGTTAATGGCAGGGCAAAGATAATCGAAACCAGATTCCATAATTTCCTTTCCATTCCACCATGGATCATAACTACTTGAGATTCCAAAGAATAAGTCTTAACATGTTTTCACTGGAAAAAATGAAATGCCATTTTCTAAATAGACTATAGACTGCTGCTAGGTGATCAGAGCAAATGTATTTAGTTCATTTAAATTAGAAGTTAGATTTATACAGGTTCATAATAAAGTTACAGAATTAATTTTATGAATTTAGTATGAATGCTCATAGTACAACTAAGAACTTTTTTAGTGATGAATATTCCTTATGTATTTTTTTATAAATTTGGATTATGGGGCATAAATGTGACAATTTCCTTAATATATAGAATGGTTTCTCCTATTAAACATACATCTTAAAAATATCTATGGTTGTCCATAAAAATCACTACAATCGTCAGTGAGAATTTGAGAAAGATGTTGATATTTACCATACATCAAATTCCAACCATGCTAGATCATGCCATGTATATTACCCATACTTAGGCTATGTTGATCAACCTAGCAAGGAGGTGTCAGTTTATGCTGTATTACCTTATATATTATGGTTAGCTCATGAAGATAAGGTTTTGGACTCTGTGACAGTAGGGACTCTGTTTTGCTTTCTTGGTATAAATAAACATTTACTGAATGACTACTATGTGAAACAGTATAAATGATGTTGGTGAGGGCACAGAAAAGAATAAGATCCTGTCCTTTCTAACAAGATTATAACTTATACCATGATTCTAAACGTAAGCAACGTAAATGGTCTAGGAAATACACATGACAATTTAAACTACCATAGATGAGATTTAAAAAGTTGGAAGCATCTGCAAGAAAATAATTGATGAATGGAGAAGTAAATAAATGAATGAACATCAAATGTTGCTAACTGCGTAGTTTCAAAGGATGTTATTGTTTCAGGCTGGAATAGTCAGGAAAGGCATTATGAATATTTGAATCAAGATATGAAGAACAGATGAAAGCTAACTGGTAAAGAAGGTACTGTGGGTTTCAAATCCCATTCACTTACAGGAAAAAAAGGTTTACTTTTCCTCAGTAGTGCATTATTTCCTTGAGATATACCATCATAAATTAAGGAAAATATTTCATATGTCACTATCTAATGAAGGTATCCGGTAATTATAATTGCATAGAAAAATTAAATACTTAAATTATTTTATTTTAAAGATATTATTATTGATTTTTCTCTTAAATATTCTATGCGCTATCATAATGTATCCAATATTAATTTACCTTAGATCATACTGGGTCAAAAATTTTTAAGTAGGTAAATATCTTATTGCATTATAGCACACTATACAACTATCTGAATATAGAAAAGATAACTCCACATTGTAAAAAAATGAATGTATCTAACTTGCATATATTTAAATTAGTTTTTGCTAAAATGATAATCAATTACATGTGATATCAAAGGTGTAAATACCATAATCGGTTTACCTATTGTTAAACTGGATCTTATCACCAACAGAAATAGTGACTCATATCATTATTCCATGCATGGCTTCCTAGCAAACCAATTTAAATAAAATAGTGAATCTGTAATGTAGAACTTTATTTTTCAAAAAAATCAATATTTATTATAAATGGTATTTTTGCACTTGTTTACAATGTCCTTTCTTGAAATAATTTCCTGGATGTCTGCATCATTCATCATTTACTTTTCGCAGGTTTTTCCCACATGCTAGTTACAGAGGGGGAAAAAAC